CCACTGCGCATGCGCGGCCTGATAGAGCAGAGAGAGGGGGGCTGGCTGCAGCTGCACTATGAAGACAGATCTGTCTCCCTGTCCCTGCTGTGTGGAGCACAACAAAGAAACTGCTCTCATCCAGCAAATACAGCTCGAAACTAGTAGAAGTTTGGTTTAAAACGTGGAGGAAGTACATAACGTAAGTACATACGTAAATAACATAAGAAAGATAAGTGGGAGTGTATTGCTTTCCATACAGGGCAGAAGATTGTGTTTCCCTTGGCCCAGTGGGAAACAAAAAATGAACATACTGGTACAAACAACAGAAGAAAGAAAGAAAAACAGGTATAGAGCAAGTTACAAGAAAAAGTACACTTTGTGTAAACATATAGTACAATACACATTAAATACAATAATATATTAATATAAATACAGGTAGTTTCAATAAATGTCAAAGTAGTAATAATACCTAAGTTACAAAGTCACAATGTAAATATATTATGTAAATATATTTAACAATCCAAATATGTATATGTACATTCAAATGATCAACGTTGACCGTTATATATTTTTTCAACAGTTACTATGACTTTATCATTTTATTTTTAACTTTACATTTTTGTGTTATTATTTTCATTTGTATTCTATTTTATCTTTATTTTTTACCTTAAGCGAATCCTGTTTTTCACTCTGACCCTGTTGCTGCTATAAACGCCTGAATTTCCCCAGGGATAAATAAAGTTCCATCTTATCTTAAAATAGCAATGCAGAATAGTCCATTTCAGGATAATACTTAACTTTAATTGTTTTAAAGAAAACATAATTAAACAATTTGGATATACAAAGAGACCATTTTAAAATAATTTTGCATTTCTACAATATGAATACATTCCAAATGTTTAAGTTTGCCCTGAAAATAAGATTATTTTTCTTGATAGAAAATGGTAATTAAAAAGAGACGGGTCTAGACTGCATAAAGGGACATAGATGTATCTGTCTAAAGTAGATATGTGTTTTTCAAATAACTGTAGTGTTATGTATGCGAGACTGAGAATGTGCTCAAGTTCTGGCTTGAGGTCAATTTCAAAACCTAAAGTGCCAGATTTTAAAAAATGAGTAAAGTTGCTATTATTGAACCAAAAAGTTATATATATATATATATATATATATGATGTGTGTTGCATTTCCTGTATGTATTTGTGCTAATGTTAACTTCTTAATATACATTTTCTTATCAATAAACATAATAAAACTGTCAACATAAATGAGACACTTCAAAAAGGAAATAAATAAAAAGATGTTTACAAAAAAGACTACATTTAAAGATGACATATTTCCATCAAAAACCCATCAGTACTCAAATGTATGTCAAATCTTTCGACTCCACGTAAATAGTGCACGACGTTCGGTGCAAAAAAACAAAACCGTGTACGTCATCTCCCTGCGACACGTCAACACGCAGCTCTCCGCCAGATGAGCTAACACAGTGCAACACGGCGGATAGTGATAATACAACTTTCCAGACAGACTTAACCGGGCTTTTTATGGCAGAATTCTAAGAAGTGTAGCTGATATTTTTAATTACAAAGGAATTTATTTAATTTTGTGTTTAATTCTATTTGAACGAAAGCGGAGTCAGCAGCTCTGGCATTTGTCATTTTTTGTGCTGACTGAAGTAAACATCCACCGTTATTTGTTTTAACACTTAGGACTTCAGCTTTAAGGCTCTCTCGTAGGCGTCAGGATGAACGAAGAAGGTAAGTTGCTTCTCATTTCCTCGCATGTTGTGGTTAGTATGATTAGTAAACGTGTTTTTGTATTTGTTTGTTGGTCAGAGCTGGTGGAGTATTTCAGGGCTCAGATGAGGAAAGACCCAGACATGGCCTCTGCTGTGGCCGCTATCCGCACCCTGCTGGAGTTCCTCAAGAGAGATAAAGGTGTGTGTTAATCCCAGCATCATTTTTACTTGTTTATGTAGTATTGGAAGAAGAAGAAACACATTCTTAAAGGTCACCTATTATGCAACATCCACTTTTTCATGTCTTTTATACATAAATATGTGTCCCTGTTCCTGATCCATTTATATAAAAACCTGTCTGAAAATGAGCTGATCTGATTTTGGTCACTTTATGATGTCATTTTTGGCTTGTGTAACCATTAGCCAATCACCAACCAAGGTAACACCTGACAACCTGTTAATCCTTCCCTGCCCCTCCAGGTGAAACCATCCTGGGCCTGAGGGAGAGCCTGACGGGGGCCACAGACTGCCTGACAGGAGTGGACTCCTCTGTGGCCGTGTCCTCGGGAGGAGAGCTCTTCCTGCGCTTCATTAGTCTCACATCACTGGAGCACCAGGTGAGAGGCTTCTCTGGGACAGCTCCATGCTCCCAAACTAAACAACAGTCAACATCTCATATCTGCAGTAAGCAAGGTAGTTCAGAGGCCCCTCTCTTCAACATTGTGTTCCTGCTTCCCTGGGCTGAATGTGCCCTTGAGTCGCCTGTGAAATAAATACAAAAATACTGGCCATATAAAGAGCTTCCAAGTCTAATTTCAATATAAGACAATATGGGATCAAATGTACAGACCTCGTTTGATGCAAAATGCATTCAAACGCGAAGCTTCAGCAGTTTGGGTTAGCCAAATCAAGTATCGGGTATATTAACTAAGTTACAACTTCTTTCTCCTTGACATTGTTAATTTGCTGGGATACTAATACATAGAGGGAATTCAATGCTAGAAAGACTTACTAAATACCTGCTGGGTTTGTCCAGGGATGTTATGGTTGAATGGTCTGTGTCTTAACCACACTATGGCGTTGTGGCTGGTTTATAAAAGCTGATTCTGATATTGTCTCGACTAAATATACTTCAATGTTTCAATTGTAGTAAGGAAAAAGCTAAACATTGATAATAATAAGTTTAGTATTTTCCACCACAATAACATTGCGATGTTAAAGGCTTTCAACAAACATCTAGACCTTGTGTAGAGACATATCATTTGCAAATAATTAAACTGAACATGTAAATGAATAAATACTCTAAAAATGTGTTGAGAGATGATTGTTCAGGTATTTTTGGAATTGTTACCCCATTATAAAAAAACACCTGAGATTTCTTTATTGTTTGCTTAAAGAGAGCTATTCATAGTGCCAAGTTTGCTTGATTTAAAGGTGCGAAAGTCTGTAACTACTTTCTTATTCTAACTCCCAGGCTTCCAGTGTTTTCTTTTGCCTGTAACATGTAATCACCAAATATGTTGTCTCTTTTTCAGGATCTGTCTCGCTGTAAAAAGGTGATGGAGGAGAGAGGAGAACTTTTTCTAAAGAAGATCTCATTGTCCAGGACCAAAGTCGCTAAGCTCTGTCACACCTTCATCAAAGACGGAGCTGTACGTATTTGTGTTACAGACAAAATTCAAGTTACCTGTATAACTGGGAATGACTCATTGTTGTACCAATAAAGACCTGCTTGTATTATGAGCAGGTGTAACACCTAACTGTTGTGACTGAAGGCCATTATTAACCTATAGAAAGACATGTGGGTGTGGGTTGGTAGGAACAGAGCTTCATTTACACTGCACACACTTAATGTGAAAACGTAATGACACATTTCCCCCTCTTTCCCCAGAAAATCCTGACTCACTCGTACTCCAGAGTGGTCCTGCGGGTCCTTGAAAAAGCTGCAGCTGAGAAGAAGCGCTTCTCTGTGTATGTGACTGAATCACAGCCTGACTCAGCTGGGTGAGTGAACCGTGTCAGCAAATGTGTTTTTATTCTGAGAGGATACGCACTTATTGAATCAGTATTTTGTTATACTCAGGCGACAGATGGCAGAAGCCCTGAGAAAGCTCAATGTTCCAGTCACAGTAGTTCTGGATGCAGCTGTGGGGTAACTATATTCATCAGGTTAAAAAACAAAACAGTGTTGTACTTTGACAACATGGACATTTATCCAGTGTGTTTGTTTGTGTTTTTACAGGTATGTTTTGGAGAAAGTAGACCTAGTTATTGTTGGTGCGGAAGGGGTCGTTGAGAGCGGAGGGGATCATCAACAAGGTGAGTTTGTGGAATAAATAATGACAATATTTAAATTTTTACTGAATCAATTCGAAATATTTTATACCAGCTAGTTTACCCAAAGATAGTTGTATAGTCGAAAAATCTTGCTTTGCGATACAAGTAAACCCTTTTGACTTAATAAAATAACAAGTGTTACCAAAAAAATGTATGTATTAAAACGTATCAATTATCTAGAACACATTTTTATTATAACAATCAAGGTGGAGCTGATTTCAACTAATTTAAATGTTGAGAAAAGTGAGAAAAAAACAATTTTTATAATTATTAGATTTTTGTCTAACAAAAAATATAATTTATGAGAGCTTTATAGAAGTCAGTGTTAGGATTTTAAAGAAGACAGAATAATGGATTTCTGATTTAAAATCAAGAAAAATGTCACTTTATTCTAGAAAAAAAGATGTTTAGGATCTAATTACACAATTGACTCAGAGATGATTTTTGTGGTGTTTACGAAATGTTAAATATTTTCTTCCGAAATGTAATGGATATGAAGTAACACCACATGGAAATCCTCAGGTCAATATATCAACATTGTACTTACTATTCACTTTTACAGATTGGCACTTATCAGATGGCCGTGTGCTCTAAAGCTCACAACAAGCCTTTCTACGTGGTGGCAGAGAGTTTCAAATTTGTCCGACTCTATCCTCTCAACCAACAGGACGTGCCCGATAAATTTAAGGTACGAGAATTTCATGGAAACTTATGTTCTATGACATTAAGAGTGTTTCTTTACAAGTCTTCCATCGTCTCCACAGTACAAAGCAGACACCCTGAGGAGCCCTCAGAACCTGTCAGAGGAGCATCCCATGATCGACTACACCCCCCCCTCCCTCATCACCCTCCTCTTCACCGACCTGGGAGTCCTCACCCCGTCTGCTGTCAGCGACGAACTCATCAAGCTTTATTTATAACTCAATAAAACCCATTTCATGAAAAAGGTAAACACATGTCAAACGTTTATTTGATTTCTGCTTTTTACATGTGGAAACACAGATGTTCACACATCCTCGCCCCCTGAGCCCTCCTGTGTCGCTGCTCCTGCTTTGTGTTTTGAATTTGGTCCGCTGATCTGAGCTGATATCTGATTCTCGAAGTCCTCCTCTGTGATTTTCCCTTTCTTAAGTTTCTTGAGGATGCGAGTGTCATTTAAAAGCTCTTGCATTTCTTCATCCTCCACATCAGAGCCCTGCAGAGAGAAAGAAAAACATGAGAACCATAAATAAACCCAGCCCACTGAAGGGATCATCAGGAGATTTCTTTTTTTAAATACCTCGTCACGCCTCCTCTTGGCGGACCTTTTTTCCCTGCGCTCCTTCTTGCTCCTCTGTTTCGACCAGGACTTATTCTTGATGAAGTTCTTTTTGGGATACGAGATCTTCACTTGATCTTTCAACTCGAGGAGCAACTTCTGTCTCAGCTTCTCCCTTTGCTTGTCCTTGTAGCGGATTTTGTCTGTGTCCACTGTCGTCTCCTTAAAATCAGGGAGTGTATCCCCTCTCAGCTCGGGCATCTTCGGCAGGCGGAGGAGGGCGAAGCCGCGGGCTAAGGTGGCCAAATCCAGATCTAGACAACAAAATACAGCACAAAATGTTATATCTGTGTACTTTTATGCACACTGCACAACTGCACCTGAATGTAGAGATGCTGTATTCACCTTTGGACCTGAAGATGAGACTACATTCGTGTTTGGCGTAGGCCTGGACGTAGGACACGAAGGCTCTCATGCCTCTGTCAAACATGGCGCGGTCTGCCAGAGCTAGAGTCTTCACTTTGGGCAGCACATCTGGAACATCTCCTGAGAGGACCATCTTCTGGAGGGGGCACTGAGGAGAAAACAAGTCAATTATCATGTGTCCACTTCAAGTAACCTCAGATTTTGCAATTTGATCATTGGTTGTCAACAGGAAATGTTTCTTTCAATTCATGTTCTGTATATTAGGACCTACCCTGGGTGAAGCAGGCATAACATGTGATGTTTCTAGCAAGATAACTCACTTTCTGATTGATGGACAAAAAATTGACATAGGCCTCCTCCATTGGCAGCAGAAAAACGAGGGCATTACCCTGATTGCCGATACGTGCCGTACGTCCACATCGATGTACAAACGCACTGAAGGAAAAACAAGAAAGGAAAAAGCTGCTGTTTAAAAATAGAAACTTGATCTGAGGAAGAGCTTAAATCAGGATCATAAAAAATGACTACTCACATTTAGCTGTGTAAATACTGAACCATTTAAGACACACAAAAAAGGACCAGCACTTCTACAGTGATTTGTTTTTCTCACCTGGCATTGCTGGGAGGATCGTACTGCAGCACCCAGTTAACATCGGGGATATCGATGCCTCTGGCCATGACATCAGTACACACCAAGATCCCACTGCCACACATTACCAATATGTTACATTAATTATAAAGACATTACACACACACACACACACACACAGAGTTGCTGTGTCACCTTTTCAGGGCCCGAAATTCAGCAAAGATCTTGTTGCGTTTGTTTTTCATCTTGCCGTGGATGCAGTGGACATCTGCTTTCTTGACCAGAACCTCCAGAGCCCGACCGTAGTACTCCACACAGGCACACGTACTGGAGATGAGATAACAAGTGATCAGTCAGGAAATGCATATGTGACCAAAATAAATGTGACAGCATAATGTCTGACAGACACTGCAGGTGTTTAACGCTTTTTTCATGGCCAATCCTTTTTAGAATAAGGCCAGATTTCTTCCGGATCTGTTGTTTGCTCTTCAGTTTTAGAGAATCTGATTATTTCCCTGAACAATCATTGATCTGGCTGTCAGATAATTGGTTGGATATCTAGTGTGAGAAAGTTTGGTCAGCTATCCTTTAGTTTAGTATTTTTTTTTAATTTCCTGCTTTTTAAACATGTTCTCTCTCCACTACTGCGTTAGCTCTGAGTGTTAGCGATGCTTGCTAATGTAAACAAAGACCATATTACGTCCAAAACAGTCGGGCATTGTTTCTGATAGCAACGTTTTTGATCGGGCCGTGGGTCCGCATTTCCGATATTACGTCATATTGGATGCAAATCTGGATCAGTTCCGTTGTATCCCCGTTTTTAGAGATTTGGGTACGGAGGAAAAGAGAGGGTTTTATTTTCTGACACTCTGTGAGTCTCCTCACACACCGGGGACACATATTTATGTATAAAAGACATCAAAAAGTGCATATAGCATGATAGGTCCCCTTTAATGTCCCTTAAGGACACTTGCTTTCACAGCCAGTACAAATGAATATATTTACAGATAGATATACACACACATAGCAATAAACAGATTTAGTCAGTACACTAAATCTTTATGTATGTATTCGTGAAACCCATTTTAAAATGTAAAGGTTCTTAGTTTATCATACCTGAAGAAAACCAGGTTCTTCTCGTGCTTGTGTTGCCTTAGAAACGTCACTAGGTGGTTGAACTTGTTCTCTGATCGACATATCTGAAATGACAACATGAGTTTTTATGTCAATACATTTTTATTAGGAGCTTATTGATGAAAAAGTTGGAAGTGTTACTCACAGTGTAGTAGTTGGAGAGTCTGGAGGGTGTTTTCTGCATAGAGGTGGCAGCTACACCTTTCTCCTTGACGGTGATGCGCACCGGGTTTCTGAGGCCGGCCCTCACCAGCTTCTCCAGCTCCTGAGTCTGAGTCGCTGAGAACAAGCCTGTACGCCTCTGTTTGGGCAGGAAGCCCAAAATGTTGTTCAGACTGGACACAGAATAAGAGTGTTTCAGTGGTAGAAAATACCTAAAAGGGTTAATAATTAAAATGACATGTATATATGTGACCCGCTCTATCGAAATCAGTCGGAAGACGCAACGGCTCATTTCAAAATAAACGTAGATTTGCATTTTAAAAAATCTTTCGGGGTTCGGGTGTTTTGTTAGATTTTAAATAAACAAAGTCTTGGCTTTCAGAATATAAAGTTTTATTTCCAAAATCACACGATAAATACATTTTTGAAGCTTGTAAAAGGGAAGAGGCACCTCTCACTTGCATTCTGCTCTTCCGCAGCGCCGCCCCCCCTCCCGCTGAAATTATGAATGTAAGGCGTATAGTAATCATAGATAAAACGGCAGGGTCCGTTACAGTTTGTTTTCATCTGATAAAAAGAAAAAGAAAAAAGTCTTGGCTTTCAGAATATTAAACTTGTTTCGGCAAATTCAGATGATAAATACAGCTTTGAAGCTTCGGCATAATTACAAGCGGAGAACGGAGTAACTTGACGTCACAGCAGGCATAACAACAGCCGGTGTTTCTCGTGAGTGTTTTCCCCGGGAAACAAACAATACACACAAACGCAAAAATACACACAGACACACGCACACTCACACACACACACTCGCGAGCTTCCCCCAGACCAGTAATCCAAACGAAAATATCTTCCCTCCGTAGTATTTTGATCATTTGCTCCACTAATCAATCAGATCGATGGATTCCAGAGAAGAGAAAACTTTGAAGGCCTTTTTCTCAAAATGATGACTCGGTGACAGTCATTATATAATGTGACATATTTTGCTTAATATTTGGAGTACAAAAACAATCCTGATATCATTAGAACGCTAGGAATCTCCTCTTTCCAACAGTGTATACAACTCAAAATGTGTCTTCGGGTCAATGCGATTGATTTCAATAGAGCAGGTCACATATATATATCAAAAATAAATGTTATAGAACTAAATTCTTCTTCCATAAAAAGGGGAAAAGTTCACATTTAGTCAGTACCTGGCCTCGAACCCCATGTCGAGTAGTCTATCAGCCTCATCGAGAACCAGCACATCAAGACCCTTCACTGAGCTGGCCAGATCCAGACCGTCAGCCTTCCTCCTGAACATATCCTCCAGACGGCCCGGTGTCGCAATCACTATGTGTGCCCTGAAACACACACACACACAAATGTAACACTCATGGTTTATGATGCTGGCAATGGAATACCAACATCTCCTCTTTGTCAGCCATCTAGTCTTTGGTATCTCATTTAGGGGAAAGAGGGTTCAATTGTGTTGTTTCTAATGGGACTAGTTTGACGTTTTTTATATATACGCTTGTCACAAAAGGGGGGGAAATAAATAATGTGGAGGTTATTAACAGGAAAGGAAGGTGGGGAAAGAGGTGAGACCAATCAGACACCTGTGAGCTGGGGTCAGGGAAAGAACTAACAAAAACAGCATGGAGAGAAACGGACAGAGGACTTAAAGGGAGTAAAAGAGAAGATAACTAAAGTTTAAACCAGTTTTCGACAATCTTTGCACCTATATTAAAGTAAAAAAGTGGTTCCAAGAACAAGTTGGATTTCCTGGACTTCCCAGGGCAACATGGAAGGCAGCTGCAGCAGGGTTTGGATGAATCTATTTTTGTATTTCTTTATGACCTGCTTGTAGCTGTGGATTTCCTGGTCTTAGTTGGATCTACAGGTAAGATAAGTATTTTTCCTACAACTTGCAAGGCTATTTTTATTCAATGTTAAAGTGACTGGGTTAGGGTTATTCTCCTGTCTGGTGTCTAACTTTAAAAACGTTGTGATCAAGCTGCACAATATCAGTCGAGACGAAGAAAAGAATGCTGCTCTCATTCCTGTCTGTTGATATGAGCCAATTAGCTTAGCATAAAGACCGCAAACAGGGAGGTCTCCCTTGAAAAAGAGATCTATGATCTCAAGGGACCAATCTGATTAAATAAAGGTTTGAAATGAAATGAGGGACCCTCACTATTAAAGTCATAATATGTTATATCTAGTGCATACCCGTGTTCCTTGAACTTCTCCACATCCTCTATGGGGTTGGTGCCACCAATCAGTAAAATCTGCCTAAAAAAAACATACAAGAAGCATTTTAATTAATAAAAACAAACAAAATAGATCAACATGATGAGGAGGGCACAGTTATTTCTCTAAGGGTTGCAATTTGTTATTTTAAGTTAGGACTACTTGAATACCATTTACAAGGTACATTTCCCCCGTTTTGACTCCTACTTGATGTTGTACTTACGTAAACTGTGGGAATTTTTGAAGGAACTGTTTCATCACTTCACTGATCTGAAGAGCCAGTTCTCTGGTGGGAGTGACGACCAGGGCGCCGACCTGCAGAAAACAACAACAAGACTGAGCATCTAAGAGACTGGAAAGCTCTACAGTGACAGGTGGAAGGTAAATATAAGTATTGAGCGTTAGTTTCCTCATCACCTGCATCTTCTTTAGCTTCTCTTCTCTCTTCAGGAGCAGCTCAATAATAGGTATGACAAAAGCCAGAGTCTTTCCGCTCCCAGTCACCTACAAATGGTACAACATTTACTGAGCTGCACAGGTAGTGCTGAGGAGAAATGTAATAGACTGTACTTTTTCAAAACAAAAAACAGTTAACAGTAATAACTAGTGGTCAAAGTACACTGGTTAAGTATTAGCATCAAAACATACTTATAGTAAAAACAGTAAAAATACTCACTTTACAGAGCTATGTATAATTGTGCAAAGAAAATGGCTAATTGTCATTACTTTATATACTTTGAAATAGCTTAAACTTTAAAATATATACTTTATTAGGTAATTTATATTTGGTATTATTAATCTCAATCTGCAGAGAGACTAATAAATACGAGTTTGGCTATAATTTGTAGTTAGATGAATGTATTTTGTTACACTTACCGCCTCAGCAGCCACATCTTTGTTTCTCATGAACAGCGGGATGCAAGCAGCCTTGAAAGAAACTCAATATTAATCAGATGTATTTACTGATCAGTGTTGTTGAAGCATACAGTAAGTGTTAAAGAGAGGCAGGTTTAAAGTGTTCATGTTACCTGGACAGGTGTCATGTGCGTGAACTTCACTTCCTCGAGCGTTTGTAAAATCCCCTCGTTGAGTTTTACAGGTAAACTCTCCCACGTCCCCTCTGTGGTGTTATCCATGTTGTTAATATAACATTCAACACGGTTATATGCTAAAGTTGTTAGCCACCGCTGGGCTGACTCTCCACGCTGCTCCTGTTTCCGGGTGCTCAGCTGTTTACAGACCGGGTGGGAACCGAAGCGGTGTCAGGAGAATCGTTCCGCATAGCCATGTATCTCTTTCCATTTTACTGTAAAATAGCCATCATGGATGGAATAGACATCCATCTACATTAATTAAGTAGAAGTAATGTCTTCCTATATATTTATTATTTTACTTTTGGGCATTTTAATTACATTTTCTTTTGTATAGTCATAGACTGTAAAGGTGATTGTAGTTCAATTGTATACACCGGCCTCTGTAATGTTCTTTTGAAAAGTACTCGATGCGTTTGTCTATTATGACAGTGAATAATTAAGTAAAATTATAGTATTTTTAAGAAAATCTACCCGGTAGTATTCATTATGGAGTGCCTTGGTATTTTTGTGACTTCAGATGCATATTAGGCTTTAATACTGCATCTTGCTTTGGACAACTTTTTAAATATAATTCAATTTATATGAAAACACAATTATTTGGAATTCATTTTCAACTTTGAAAGATAGAAGAGGAACGTTTCTTTGTATAGTAACATTTACATATGAGAGCACTCAACAAGTCGAGTCAGATTCTTGGAGCCTTGAGCAGACATTTAGACTTGTCATAGCAGGTAAAACAAGTAAAACGAATCAAATCAACAATAGTTCAGTAACAGCTTTTACGACAAGGAAATTCAGCAATTAATGTTCTTTAAAAGGCTCAGGCTAAATTCCTCACATGTGCATTCAAACTTTCTAAAAGACACCACCACCTGTTTAAAAAAGACACTGAAGTAATTGTACAGAATATTGGCTTTATTATGAAACCTGGGGCTTTTTTCCACAGACAACCATTCTACATTTGTACAGATCCATTTATCAGATTTAGTTGTTGTAATCACAAAAAGGAGAGACTGTGTACAGAGCAGTTTACCTGCCAGAGCTCACCAAAGATTGTTTTAATAAAAAAACTGGAGCATATTCTGTGACACACAACATGCATGATGTGTACTATATGTGAAGCTACTGTCCTGGACGTACGTTTTTTTATCTTGGTGGGGAAATAAACAGGTAAAAGATATTAATTTGAAAAGCATCAGCCACACAGCAGCATGTCACAGGATATGCTCCAGGAAAAACAAACAGTTCAAAATTGTATACAATCATATAATTTAAAATCCCTAACCCCAACAAAAGAACTATAGTAGAAGCAACTAAAGCACACAGCAGTCATTAGGTGTCAGACCCCCCACCCACCCACCCTCAACATGTAACATGTCATCTCAGTGTTCCTCCACACTTTGCTTGGAGCTTCACTCCAAGTAGTTCAGTTTAAAATCACACAGCCTTAGCTCTTCAAGGTCTTACAGCTAACTGGAACTTTTCAAATCTAGGTGTTTAAAAATTAACTCAAGGCCAAGAAACTGTTACCATTTTCTGAACTACGCAGGGAATCACAGTTTCCCTGCAAAAGGTGTCCACTGAAGCCCCCTTCCCCACAGCATGGATTGCCTTGAATCAACAGACCGAGCTAGAAGCTTTAGTTTCCCTTAATGATTAGCTGCAGTGTAAATCCTTCAGATATTTAGATGCATTTATCAGGAGTGCAATTTGTTGTTTGAGAGAAACCTAATGTACAGATTTCAGATATCTGCCAGTACATTGTCTAACTTGGCATAGATGCTGGAAACAAAACCTTCTGCATCTCAGACAAAAAAAAACATCAAATGATTTGCGTTTTCATGCGTGTCATTTTTATCACTTGAAAAGGTCCCATTTAAATTCTCCTGTATAAAATCTCACATTTATCCATGTATTGATCCTGGACTGAGGCACAGTGCTTCTAATGTGGATCCTTAAATTAATCAATTTATGTGCATATCTAAGTCTTTTCAAACTGTCTTTACTTAAAATGATGAGCCTCAGTCATTCACATAGGTAAAACTGTATTGGCGAGTAATTTGTACTTAACTGTAAATATAAAACAATATTGGACAGAAAAATATTTTACACAAAAAGTTATAACTAATGAAATGATATCTATCCCAGAATTTTTTGGCCATTCGTTCCAAACAAACACTAATTACATTTATAAAGAAGGAACCAAACAGGTAACAGGTGAACAAAACTTCTGAGATCCAATCATATTTAGGCTTTACTCAAATCTGCCGGTCTCATTTCCAGAGTGTAAATAACTGTCATGGTGTTGGAGAAATCAGTGAAGGACACAGGGATCATTTAACCGCACTAAACCACTCGCCGTACTTCGAAAAATCTCTTCAGGTAATAAATCTGTTCCGAGTGTCATTGCCACCAGAACGAGAGCTTCGAAGAACGACCACAGCACCCACTCGGCTGTTTGTGTTGTCGTTGACTAGAAAGAGAAAAGAAGACGGGTTCAGGATATAAAAACAAACATTTACAATTTGTTTCTACAGTGTAATTGGCTCTAGACTCACTTGCTCTGTGTATCCTCTCTCGAACCTCCATGTACTCCTGCTCATGCTTTACAGCCGTCATAGCAACCGCCAGCTCGTTGATCATCTCTTCCAGCTTGTTTTGGTGCGCTGAAACCAGGTAAAAGTGATCATCACAAAAAGGGCCACACCACAGTTGATGTGCACACAAAGATACATGCATGAGGTATGCAGTACATGCATAACAGATGTCATTGTGATGTATGTCGCAGGTGATGCTGCGCCATCACCAGAGACATTTTGTATACCATACATGTTCTTACTGTGCAAATAGTCAAGCCATTCAAACAATAAAACTTCCTACGCGTTTAAGAAATGCACAATATTAGTTTAAGCTACAAAACAACGCTGGTTAGAGAAAACTCTGCAGTGCATCACAAACTCAAGTCTATTTCACAACAGCAGTTTTGCCCTGTGCCCTACCATCCCAGCTTTCACCACCTATGAAGAGGAACAGAGCGCCCAAAATAAAGTCAAAAAAAGGGAAATAAACTATCAAACAGTGACACATGGTCAGCAGAAAAAGAAACAAGTGGTTTGCACGCTGGATGATCTTTAAAAATCTGGCTTGACATAATGCCATATGGAATTTCTTAATTTCTCTCTTCACAGGCATCAATCAAAACATGCACCCCTGAAGTACCTTCTGTCTCCATGTCCTGTCCTTTAGGGGCCTCTCCGATATCAATCGTGAACATGACAATCTTGGGTGTCATGGTTGACATCTTGTTGCTGAAGCAGAACTTGTAGGTTCCGTCCATGTGTGCTGCCACAGAGTATTTCCCACTTGACTCCCTGTCGCCTTTGTAAATTTGCTTACCATCAGGCCCTGTTATCTGGAAGGAAAATGCAAAATATGTGAGTAAAAATCATTGCTGCATGAGAGCACACTTGTAACATATGGCAGCAAGATCTGTGTACATTAAACCCATCATTTGCAAGTTATACCACAGCACTTGTTTCAAATAAATAAGTTAAAGAAGATAGTAAATGTTTTCTTTGGATTATACTCAAATACATTATTGGCTACATAGTGAGTCCAGCAATGCTAGCATAACTAAGCCGGACATAGTGCTAATGCTACACTTCCTGTATCCTAATGAATAATTAAATTACAATATTCGGGTTTAGGTAAAAGAAAACGGACCGAATAATAAGATATGATGTTTTTGTTATTCAACTTTGAATTACAATAAGTTAACATCCATCAGCTGGACTGCAACTAGTCCACTTGACGTTACACAGAGAGACTGCGGAAGCTAACACTAGCTAGCACAGGCCTTGTGTGTGAGCATCAGGTTTAAGTTTAAAAAAAAACAACACATTCCTCCACATTAGGTGGCTGGTTTATCATCTCACCTCCACATCGATGTCCAGGAAGCCTCCCTCGGCTACCTCAAACATGAGGCCCATCTTTGTGCCGGAGTTGACCCGCTCATAGAAGCACTCCTCGGCATGGGCGTCTATGCTAACGAAGTAGCCGGACGCAGTGGAGGACAGGACGGCCAGCAAGACAACCAGCTCCGACACGGTAAACATGTTTCAAAGTGTTGTATAGCAAGCTTCACAATAAAGCTGTTGATATAGAGAACCCTCCTTGTTTCAGTGTATCCTGTAAGAGTGCAAGATGTCAGACGGTATGAGTGAAATTGTTGCCGGGGAGTAACGTTAGCCGCTTCCAGCATCGGCTGCTGTGTACTGCTCTCTAACTGCCACGTACAGGCTTAAACGGCATCCGGCGAGGGCCAAATGTAAGAGTGTGCTGTCAAAATGTAGTGACTCTTCACCTGTTTAGAGAAGATCATCACATCAACTCGGACATTCAGTGGTGTAAAGTAACCATTCACTCAAGAACTGTACTTAAGTACAATTTTAAGAAACTGTACTTTACTTAACAGTATTTCAATGTAATTGCTACTTTGCTCTTCTGCCCCACAAAAAGTGTACTTTTTACTCCACTACATTTATTTAATACCTTTAGTTACTTTTGCAGATTTGGATTAATCATGTGAAATATAAACCACACTTAAATAAGACTTGAATACAACCTGGAGTGAGATTCACAAGATACCCTGCAGTGTACAGAGTGATTAAAACTAGCTGCCCATCTTTAGCATACAAACAAAACATATATTATTCTGAAATGGGCCAATTTGCATAATGAGCACTTTTACTGTTGGTACTTTAAGTATATTTTGATGCTTATACTTTTGTACTTTTACTTGAGTAACATTTTGAATGCAGGACTTATACTTGTAAGTAACAGAGTATTCCTACACTCTGGTACTTCTACTTTTACTAAAGTACAAGATCTGAGTACTTCTCCTACCTCTGGATGTTGGAAAAAGTACTCAAACCATTTCATATTCATACCAAAACGTATACCACAGTTGAAAATACTTCTCTACAACTTACTTAACCCTTGTGTTGTGTTCGAAAGCTGTTACCGTTCATGGTGTTGGCGGTCAATTGTGACCCATGATTTATCTCTGTCCAAAACACTCAAAAAATAATGACTCATCCAATATAGTTTTAATTATATCATAACTAACTTATTATGGATTCATAACCGTACAATCCTGTTGTAATTTTATTGTATGGCCCCACAACACATTACACCACATATTTAAGTAAAACATATGATTAAATTCACTCATTATATTCCCTAGAGTGAAGACAGTGGATAATTATGTTATCTGACAATAGACTAATATATGATACAATTTCCCCCCAAAAGGTTTTAAATGGTTGTTAAAGTGGATGGAGGGGGTGGGGGTGGGGTGTCTAAAGTCAAAGATTAATCTTGATTGGGCCAAATCTGACCCCGAGTCACCCAAAACAATGCTGGGTCTTCAGAGAACTTCAGACTTGGCTAAAATTGTCAAAAACAGTTTTGTAGTGTTTATATAGCTGTTGTGGAGGATACCATGAAGCCTTGTTCCGATAAAAAAAAACTAGAGCATAGTTATTATATAATTTGAACTTGAAATGGGTCACGGGAGACCCAAACACAACATAAGGGTTGGGAAAGGCTCGTAAATGTAGGCTATCAGCAATATCTCAAGTAAAAGTAATAATTATCCATTAAAATGTTCCACGTATGTGTCTATGGTTGATTTCTACTGCTTGCATTTCACTGCTAAAGCTGTCTTGGACTATTTTTACTCATGTACACATTTTTGGGTAGTTGAATCTACAGCAATAGCCTACATTATATTATTTATTTGGCTTTATTATAGGTAGAGAGCATGGACAGATGTTAAAGGTGCAACTGTAAGAGATTCAAAATGGGACCAAAACAGCTCTGTTTTCAGCTTTGTTACGATGCATTTTCTAGCTGACCCAAGAGGAGGTTTTAAAGTGTATTTAGCTTAAAATGCATAATTATTTCTCAACCCATGAAGGAACATTTCAGCCTTCAGTTCAACACAAATATTTAAAATAAAATCAGCTTGTCAAGAAATGCACATGGTTTTCTTTGCACAGGAAGGGGGAAAAGTACTAAAAATATAGCTGTCAGAAAAATAGAGCAAAGTAAAATGTAATTGCAAATGTGGCATAACATGGAAACACTTAAGTACAAACAGGGAGCTTACTTTTGTTTTTAACTAAAGTACAATAGTCTAACTTGAGTAATTGAACTAAGTTATATTCCACATCTGACATAGACTTAACAATACTATAGAAGATCATAGATTTATTTTTGATGTAATCACTTTTATTTTTGTCCATAAAGGTAACTAACATATCTGACACTTACACCACTGCTGAATTGTACAATTATTACCAACATTCCGTTTTTTGACATTTGAACATTTAGACATTTATCTCCTCTACTTTTTGTGATGGTATGGTTATGTGATCACGTGATTTGTGCGGTCAATGCGGTAGGCTCCGGAATGCTTCGCTTTTGACGCTAGAGCGGCGAATGCTCCAGAGATGCTCCGCACCGCTGTACCGCTTGTGCCGCTGTAATCATAAAACAGGGTGTCAATGAGCATGCGCAAGAGAGAAAGTGATAGGACTCTTTAATTTATGTCCCACTGTTTGCCGGACGGGCCGAGCTCTGTAGGTTTTTTGAAAAGCGGGGAAGTGGCAGCGTTGAACGGCCGCACAGGGTGGAAAAAAAATCCGCGCACCCTCTGTTTTGTCGCATCTTTGGTGACGTCCAATAATCGACTAGCTGTGAAGTCTCCGGGGCCGAGGCCTAAAGACTTTTCTTTTTGTAACGCATACACATTTTTTAGTCACCATGCCTGGATTTCGGTGCCCGTTTTGACCGGGTGTAAACCGATGAAGCACTTTACTCTGTGATTGAAGAGGAAACGGTGGGAAACGTTAGCCAGCTAATTGTAGCTCCTGCTAACTGCCAGCGAGGAAGTGAGGAACGAAAAAATGACATCTCGGAGGTAAAGAGGGGGGTAGGTGGGGGGGCTGTCTGGAAACAATGTATACTAAATGTGTTAGCTGAGCTAGCTAACTTTTAACTTAACTCAGCTGTATGGGGGTCCGTAAACAAGCTCCGAGTGAGCCGACGGTTCTGGAAAAAAAAAAAGAATAGCTAGTTTGCTAAAGACCCTTTCATTTAGCATACACCGGCAGATGTGGAAGAAGTACTCAGATTGTGTACTTGGGTAAAGTATCAGTGTATGAAAAAGTCCTGCAATCAAAGTCTTACTTAAGTAAAAGTACCAAAGTATTGGCATCAACGTATACCTAAAGTACCAAAAGTAAAAGTACTTATTCTGCAGATTGGCCCATTTCAGAATAATATGATATGTTTTGATTGTAATAATTGATGCAATAATGTGTTTATCAAAGCTGGTAAAGGTGCAGCTAATTTAATTTAAAGGTAGCTTGTGGATTTACTCCAGGTGTAACTAAAGTCCTATTTTAAGTGTTGATTATTTCATATCAAAGTACATATGCAAAGTAACTACATAGATAGATAGATAGATAGATAGATGCTGTAATCATCCCAAATTGGGAACATATTTTTGTAAAAGCAGCAGTATTGTCAAGCATTACACATGAGTTAACATTGTTTAAAGATAAAATAAGATACAAATATTAGGTGAGGTGTTGGTGCATAAGGATCATTAGTACTGAACTGAAGTTGTTGGAACAGGAATGAATACTTGTACACATAACACTGAAGGGGTATTATATTCTCATAGAGGGAGACTGCATGCAGTGTTAGGACAGTTGTGAACAGAGACAGAGCAAAACACTGGCTGAGTCTCATGGAGGAAGAGACACAGATATATCAACCTAACAGACAGATAGTCTTGGGGGAAAAAGACTGGGAGAGAAAAGATGGACAAGCACACAGGAGCCTCAAATATTAAGAAAAGAAAAACGAGAAAGAGCAATAAACTAAAGGGAGATTTGAACACACATAACAAGTGATATGGTTGTATATTTTCTGTGTTTTATTATGTTGAATGTTTAGGTCGATGCGTGTTCTGTGTTTTATTTGTGCTGCGGGACACATTTCCCCCCGGAAACAATAGAGTTGAAAGGTGTTGTTATGGTGCTGCTTCAGTTTCAGAAATGCCCTTTTTAGTTGCATTATCCAAATAGTTAAAAGAGAGAGACTCGGAATGAAATGCAGTACAAGTTTTGAATATCATCTTTCACTTTACCCATAAGCTGATTACTGTGTTACTCTTTCAGGTGGTTTCACCCAAACATCACAGGTGTGGAGGCTGAAAACCTCCTGCTGACTCGAGGAGTGGATGGAAGCTTTTTAGCCAGACCCAGTAAGAGTAATCCTGGAGACTTTACCCTCTCAGTGCGGTAAGTGATGAGCACACGATGCAGCATACAATACAGAAAATACAGTGGGATACTACTGTGGCAACAATTTAAAATAAACTTTCTGGTGCTTTTTACTAATCCTTATCCAAATATAAACAAAACGGCGATAAAACTGGCTGAACAAAAAAAACCAAGTCGTAAATGTTGGATTACCTTAATAATTAGGCTCAGGATCGGACAGAGTGAATGTTCCACCCTAACTTAATTATTCCTATTTCAACGTTAAATAACAGTGATTGTGCACATCTGTTTATGTGTAATCAGCATTTTGGCTTCCTTCTAATTGTTAAATTATAACTACTTCTCTTTTAGAAAACCAATATGTCTGATCAAAATGTTTTGATGATATAAATGGATCATATCATGTCTAATTCAAAAGGACTAGTTTGTAGTAATAAAAACCACAGATAATTATCAGCAGTCTCTGCAGTTCCCCTCAAGTCTACAGAGTATTTAACTTCATTTTGGATCAATGTTTTAATTTGATATCCCTAGACACGGTTTACACCCCCTGTTCAGCACTAAACTAACAAGGAGACAGAGGTTTTTATTAACACTATTAATGAATGCCTAGATAATGGAAACAAAACACCCCATATCGTCTTGGGAAACCAGTGTTATCCAAAGAATGAAGACTTTTTAATAATAATAAAAAAGTTTGTGGTTGTATCTCAGGCCCTGTGGAGTCATACAATTTAACGATGACGTATCATTAACTGAATTTAGACACAGCCAATGTTATTTTTGCCTCAGTCTCATATTTTAGCAGCACAGCCTCTCATTTCTCACCATATTTACTTCAAAACTCCAAAGTAAGTCGTGCTGTCTTGTGGATCAGAGACATCGTCCCTGCTGCTTCAACCAGCACTTGTCCGTCTCTCGTCTTTTGTGCTCCTTCTGCCAGACTTAACCAGAAGTCATTTAAGGTTACATGCTGCTGAGCTTCAGATCTGCCTCAACTTCTCCTTTTCTATTTTCCGAGATACTGCTGATCCCTTACAATGACTCAACACGGTTTATGCAGTCTGTGTCTGGTTTGTCTCAAAAGAACGTGGTGCTTTCCTCTAAGAAATTCTATCTCACTTTGACTCTGACAGTTTTGTGTCTCTCACCTCTCTTGTACATAACAGATGGCAACCATGTTGTTGATGGTGCATGTGACTTTGTGTTAAACTATTTTTTATTTTGCACTCTACATCTGAAAGGCTGCAGGCAGTATACAATAGTATCGTTAAGGCTACAACTAAGGATTCATTTCTTTATTGATAAATAAATACATTAATCTGTCAAGTTGTTTTTAAGAGCAACAGTTTAACACCCAAATCAATTCAGTTCAAAATGTTGCTAGACAACAAAAAGGGACGAATGTCACGTTTGAGATGCTGCAACTAAGTAAAGATTAGCTTTCCTGCTTAGAAGACATTAGAATCAAGTATTAAAATAGTAGCATATAAACCCGATCAGCTAGCTGTTTCATCTCGACCTGCAATTAATAAAAGAGGTCTGCCAACTAAGATGCATTTGGAGCCTTCCACATTAAACTAAACACCATGTGCTATTATCATTTATCAATAATGCTACATTGTCTGCTTATTTGAGATGATTTTAAGAAGATGCTTCACATATTGGTTTGATTTCTTTTTTGTTACTCCCTGTTGGAGTCTCTTTTTGTCCCTGACGATGGCGCTGTTCTTTCCCCTTGATGGAAACATTTCTCTAAATGATTCTGCTTTTCTTTTTTTCATAGACGAAATGGAGCCGTCACCCACATCAAGATCCAGAACACAGGAGACTACTATGACCTTTATGGGGGGGAGAAGTTTGCCACTCTGGCGGAGCTGGTGCAGTATTACATGGAGCACCATGGCCAACTGAAAGAGAAGAACGGAGACGTTATTGAGCTCAAGTATCCTCTCAACTGTGCGGATCCCACGTCAGAGAGGTGAGCAATTACGCTGGATATTATGTTTTTATTAGGGATGTAACGATATATCGCGGTAAATAAATGTCTCAATACCGTCGTGAGACTGACAAAATCTACCGCGATTTTTTTTATTTGTTTAAAATAATTCTTTTTAAATAATTTTTTTTTTTTTTAAACCTTTATTTAACCAGGTAGTCCCATTGAGATCATCGATCTCTTTTTCAAGGGAGACCTGTCCAACATGGCAGCAAGTAGGTTACAACATGAACATAAAACAACAGATAACACAAAAGGACATCGTATTTACAGGGCTACATGTACATACCTAGAGACATTGACAAGTACCAACAGTATATGTATATCTCACCCTGTCAATAAGCCTCACCTTCTTGGCAAAAACTGCATTGTTTTTGAAGTGGTGGAGAGACAATGCACAGTTTGACCCACTGCTGTTACCCATGGCCAAAGCATATCTCTCTGTCCCAGCAACATCAGTACCAAGCAAGAGAGTTTTTTCCACAGCAGGGGATATTGTAAACGCCCAAACATCCCAGCTTCTACCTGGGAATGTGGACATGCTCATATTCCTAAAAGATAACCTTGATGACGCTGAGTGAGTGAGTGAGTTAGAGTTGAGTTACTTGAAAAACTAAAGAGAAACTTGATTTGTTCTATTGCAGGGTCTTATTATTATATTGTTGACACTTTAAAATACTACTATCCTACTAAAATTCTGTACAAATCAGATTTATTATTTAATAAAGAAAAAAAATTCAAGTAAAAAAAAATATATATATTCACATGTTTTCTTTATTTTTCAATCCCGCGATAAATATCGTACCGTGGACTTTTTATCGATATTATCGTACCGTGAGTTTTTGGTATCGTTACATCCCTAGTTTTTATGCCTGAAGTATGTCTGTTAAGAAATGATCAGCTTGGATTGATTTTACAATTTTGTTAATTAATTAAAGATGTTTGGTGTTCAGTTATATAAATATGATATCACTCAATGTTCACTAGCAGTAGCTATAGTTTTGTACTGCGGTGTTTAACTCGGGATTAACTTTATTTATGGCATTTTATACTGTAAACAAAGGTAAGAAATATAACTTTTTATTATGCAAAGTACAGATTAGTTTTTCTATCATTCTCCATATTTAAAAAAAAATTGGAAAAATGTAATCTTTCAGATAGTATTACGTCTATGACCCTTTTTCAACCAAGCTTTTAAACAATAAATAGAGTGATACCATTAACGTAGTAAAGTACACGTTTATTCCAATCCCTATTGGCAGCAGGAGGAGTATTCTTCAGTCAGTTGAGTTTGGATGAAACACATTTTCCGCTTGTGTGTCTTTTTGCCAGATGGTTCCACGGACATTTGTCAGGCCGCGAGGCAGAGAAGCTGCTGACGGAGAAAGGGAAGAACGGCAGCTTCCTTGTGAGAGAGAGCCAGAGCCACCCCGGGGATTTTGTTCTGTCAGTCCGGACAGGAGACGACAAGACGGACAGCAGTGACAACAAACCCAAAGTCACTCACGTCATGATCCGCTGCCAGGTAAACACACCCCTCATCACCTCTGTGTTCGCTGAATTCCTGTGTTTAACAGAAAGAAAACTTGTAAAATATATGTAGAGACACCTAAGAGGGTAAAGGATGTACCTCTGGGAAGAGTCAAGCTAATACAAGTAGAACCAATCCCAAGTGCCTTCATTTTCTTGAGTGGAACAAGTTGGTATAAGATTTATTTTCCTACACGTGGCGTTTGGTTACCCTGCAATGTTCACCACTTTAAAATTGGTACACAAGATTTTGAAGAAAATGCATACGCTACTTGTATGTTACTGTAGCAACAGTTTACAGGGTCAAATATGAAACAAGGCAGTTATATTTAAAAGGATTTAGTATGATCACTTCCTGAGCAGAATCTACATTTAGCCACAGAAATTTGTCGTAAAAGATGAGTTCAGTGGAAACAAAAGCAGAGCCTGTGACTATGGCTACAACCTCAGACACGGGTCATTACGTTCATGCAGTGGAAGACTCGGACACATCTGTGCTGGAAGAAAAAAAGCAAGGGGCTCTCAGTATAGTCTGTCCTCTCACTGTTGACGTTTTGGAATGGGGACAAATAGATCAGGGTGGCGCAGTGGTCTGTGCATCTGATCATCAGATCAAGGGGGGTGCTGGGGAACTCCAGTTCGAAACCCGCTCCTGCCGCCTGCTGCGTCAGGCCGTTGTGTCCTTGGGCAAGACACTTCACCCGGATTTGCTCCTGTGGGTATTGTCCACAGTACATGTATGATACTAATGTGTACTTGTAAAAGCGCCTCGATGACTTCGAGGCGTGAAGATGGACGGTGTGGCGCAGTGCGCTGTGCAATGATCATCAGATCAAGGGGTGAAACCCGCCGCTGCTACGTCTGTAAAGCCATTGTGTCCTTGGGCAAGACACTTCACCTGAACTTGCTCCTGTGGGTATTGTCCACAGTGGTGACCATTGCATGTATGATATGTGTAAATTTGTAAAGCGCTTTGAGCATCTGGAAAAGCGCTATAATAAATGTAAGGTATTATTATTATCAATACTCACATATTGCAAATATTGAGTGCACAAAATGTATCCTCTGTGATTTCTCCTAGACATCTAGTGCATGTTAAAGTTTGTATTGTACGATGTTGAGACTAGTTCCCTCATGTGGATGTGGTTTCTTCTTCAGCATGACCTGAAGTACGATGTGGGCGGGGGGGGAGAAGTTTGACTCCCTGACTGACTTGGTAGAGCACTACAAGAAGAACCCCATGGTGGAGACTCTGGGCACCGTGCTGCAGCTCAAACAGGTACCGCCAATGTCTGCTTCAAATACTACTTATACCAAAATCTAAGGCTACATTCTCCTGATTGTACTTCCCGGTGCTGACCCCTGCTCTCCTCCCCAGCCCCTGAACACTACTCGTATTAACGCTGCAGAGATTGAAAGTCGAGTTATGGAACTGAGCAAGCTAGCGGAGGCCACAGACAAGGTCAAACAGGGCTTCTGGGAAGAATTTGAGGTGAGTGGTTCAGTTGTTGTGTTACACTAAAGCTGTCCTCTTTGGTCAGTTTTTTTCAGTTTCTTACCATAAAAGTGCTAAATTGTCAAGTGCTGTTTTTTTTTAGATTTGCTACTTTTTTTTATATTCTAGTTTAGAACTCTTTATTTTTGTATTATTTTCTACTTTGTGTGTTATTACCTTAAATATCAAACGTGTGGGTTAGAGCTGCAACAATAACTATTTTGATAATCAATTCATCGTGAAAGTTAGTTTTCATGCTAAAATGACAGAAGCTCTTAGAGAAATAGATTTAACGATCAATACATCAGGAAATCTATATTAATTAAAATACCCTATTGTTACTTTGAAACAGCATGCTCATACACTATGACTGCTTGACTCTCCTCTCTTTTTCCATCCAGACCTTGCAGCAACAAGAGTGTAAACTGCTCTACAGTCGCAAAGAGGGCCAGAAAGCGGAGAACAAAAACAAGAACAGATACAAGAACATTCTGCCCTGTGAGGAATCACTGACTGCTCTTTCTCTATAACAACCTTTCTCTTTCACCTCAGGGTTTTTTTATAAACTGTACTGTTTCTCTTTCTCTTTCCAGTTGACCACACACGTGTGGTGCTGAACGACAGGGACCCCAATGAGCTAGGCTCTGACTACATCAATGCCAATCTCATCATGGTAGTATCTGCTGTCATGGTAAACCCCCTATATACACCCATCATTCATTCTGTACTTGATAATATGTTTAAAATGAAGAATTGTGTTGATAAGTCTTTCGGTAGCTTTTTCTGCATATGTTTTCAGTTTGTGATCTTGATTTTACTCCATATGTTTTTATTTCTGTTCATTGTCAGTAATCCTCCGTCTCTGTTTGTTTTGTCTGTGTGTAGCCGGAGCTAGACCCAAAGTGTAACAGCACAAAGGTGAAGAAGAGCTACATCGCCACTCAGGGCTGTCTGCAGACCACCATCAGTGACTTCTGGAGGATGGTGTTTCAGGAGAACTCGCCGCGTCATCGTGATGACCACCAAAGAGGTGGAGAGGGGGAAAGGTGAGCAAAAACAAAGCAAAAAGTTAACCATAAAACCATTAATACTTTATGGTGTCCTGTCCTGTTGTTATTCCTGAATACTAGCTGAGCAAAGTGCAGAACTTTGTTGCAACAACATATTTCCAGTCCAGCTACAGTCATTATCAGGTTTTGGTGTCAGATCCTCTACTTAGAAAGTAGAAATAACATGGTGAGATAGAGGGATACAGTTCAAGTTCTTAGTACCTTTTCAACTCTGCCCATTAAACAGAGGCATCAGAGGAAACATGTCATAGTGAGTTCTATTGTTTTTGTGTGTCTCAACAGAGTAAGTGTGTGAAGTATTGGCCGGATATGTCGTCGCTGAAGGAGTACGGAGCGATGCGCGTTCGCAACGTCAGGGAGACGGCTGCACACGACTACATCTTAAGAGAACTCAAACTGTCTAAAGTTGGACAGGTATGTTTTTTTTTTGTTTTTTTTTAAACATGGATAGAGAAAAACATTTATTTCCAAATATCTAGCCAAGAAAGTGTAATGTATTGATATGAGCAAAATCGTTTTTCTTTTTTCTTTCTGTGCCATAGATCTCTATTGTTGTTCAGCTAGCCACCCTGGGGAGACACACACTGTTGTTTATTTTTGACTCAATCCAACACACAACGTCCTACTGACCCAAATACTCACTAGAGCACCAAATGTGGAATAATCCATAGCTAAAAATAGTCCCCAACAAATGCACTATTTATTCTTGGTTGAGTGACTTTTGCTAACAACTTCAGGAATCGTTGGGCTGAGTGCCACAGACAACGTAGAGAATGAATTAACAGACAGACCCGCATGTTGGTTTTTGATTTTACATGGGGATTTGTTGACTGAAAAAAATATATAGAATTTGCAAGCCTTTCCTTTTAGGGACTTCTGTATTCATGTATTGATTACTATACATTGAACTGTATTTTGAAAGTTGTTCTCCACATGTTTCCAGGGCAACACAGAGCGTACAGTGTGGCAGTATCACTTCAGGGCCTGGCCGGATCACGGGGTCCCCACAGACCCAGGAGGCGTCCTGGACTTCTTAGAGGAGGTCAACCTGAAGCAGGAGAGCATCCTGGACGCTGGGCCTATAGCGGTACACTGCAGGTACAAGCACACTAAAAACACTTAGACAAATAATTTAAATAAATCCTCTATAAGTGTGCATAGAGGAGACATGTTAACTCAAAGATGTGTCTGTTATTTTCTTCAGTGCAGGGATCGGGCGGACAGGAACATTTATTGTGATTGACATCCTGATAGATGTGATCAGGGAAAAAGGTGAGTCCTGCAAATGTACTCTTGGCAATACAAATGTCTTGAATCAGGATAAAATCCAGATTTAAAACATTTCTTAACCTACATGGGTCTTTGTGGACCAAATCTGACTACCTTCTGCTCGGGTGGTCAAGCACTTGAAGCAGCTTAGTATTTGCCAAAAACACCAGAAAAAGCTGTTTAGTTTAAAAAAAAAAAGAAAAGTACTTTACTTATTAAGGCAGATTTGTTTTGAATTGTGGTTCTACGAGGTACTTCTCCAAATTCTGTTGCAAACTATATTTAGAATATTTCTACAGCTTTACTTCGCCTTTATCTGTGTTCTCTTCAAAACCGACTGAGAATTTTTTTTGACCAAGTCTTTGAAGAGAGCTTAGATAATGGCTTCAGTCCCCTGTCAGTAAGATCTATCTGATGGCAATTCACTTCAAAAAACCCTGAACAATCCCTAAAAATGACAATATGTACTATACCCTATTTACATATACTACATTTTTAGACTTTGCTGTTACTAATCCCTCCAATGTCACTTTACCTGGTATTTTAGTTAGCCTGCATGCTCTATTATTATTGCTTTACTTGCCTTTTATATCCCTTTAGTTACTTTTTCACTTGCTTTACTCAGGATTTTGTACTTGAGACTAATGCTGGCTTTGTTAATATAGCCAATGCTAAGGGTGTTATCAGTGTAACATATTGTTTGCCTGCTGCAGGGGTGGACTGCGACATCGACGTGCCAAAGACCATCCAGATGGTTCGTTCTCAGCGCTCTGGAATGGTGCAGACTGAGGCGCAGTACAGATTCATCTACATGGCTGTACAGCACTACATAGAAACACTGCAGAGACGCATAGAGGAGGAACAGGTGTGCAGCAGATAACAAACCACTTTTTCCATTATCGCTTTTTCTGCTCCTGCCCCCTGACCTTGCTCTGTTTTTCTCCTCTGCAGAAAAGTAAGATTAAAGGGCGTGAGTACACCAACATTAAGTACTCTTCATCTGACCTGACTGGAGGAGAGCAGAGCCCTTTGCCTCCCTGCACTCCTATTCCTACTCCCACCTGCACAGAGTAAGTAAAGGGTCGCTCTTTAACTGTTTTGTGTCAGATTTAAACCCCTTATTAAGAAAGTAGTGTGGCATTACAACGTGTAAATGTATGTTGGCAGGATGAGGGACGACAGCTCCAGAGTGTATGAGAACGTGGGCCTGATGCAGCAGCAGAAGAGCTTCAGATGAGATTTACCCTCGGTTCCAGGTAAATGAGTATCATTAAGCTCATAAAGGAAACTATATGAGGCAGTAAAGTGAAAAGCAAAGGCCAGTCATTGATAAAGCGCTGAGGGTGTTTGAATCACTTGTAGTTTAATATCTCTCATGATGAATTCTGCATAATTAACATTTTCACAGCTCAAATTGTATTCCTACATGTTTACCTTTTTTATTGTCTCCTTCAGGATCTTGATACCTGACAGTTTTTTCGCCAGCCACACCTTGACGCCTGAGACTTGACCGTAATGACATGGAACAATGGAAAAACACACACAAAAACACAAACGTGAGAGAGACCAGACACCAGGGTCCTCCTGTTCTCGCTCATCTTACATGAACATTTGCCCTCTAGTTGAATTCTAAACCACTGTGATGATCATCAGAAGAGCCTTTGAGAAGCCTAGCATGCTAAATCCTACTACCAACAGTTTTAGGACTAGCCTTTGTAAATCTCAATTCAACAAGGGCTGCAAAGAGCGAGCACTCTTCTCAGAGGGAAAACCCTAGCTAACCTTTGCTCATCTCACATATTTCTATGTTTTCTTATTTTAATTAACCAAAGGAAGGTTATGTAGGTTGTTTGTTTGTTGATGGAAGTGAGGAGTTTTCTGAATAAGGCCTGTGCCAAAACCATGAATGATTTTATCCACATTTCTCAGCCAATTAAAAGTCTCTATTTAGCCTGGTCAGTGGGAGACGAGACCTTATTTGTGGACTAAAGTGGGGCAGAATTTCCAGTGATAACGGTCTAGTTTCACTGTTATATATAGAGGTAATGTTTTTGAATGAAGAATGATTGGCATTGTAGTATAATACCATTTTACTGTAAAATTGTAATCTACTGACTAAACATGAATTCCTTTTTTTTGCGCCAGAACTGCCTCCAAGTGAAATCTTAATTCAGGCTGTTCGGAGTGTGAATTAACATTTTTTTGTTGTCCATAAAGTGCTTTTGTTGTTGGGATACGCATCGTCTGTTAGTTAACCATTCCTGAGCTCTAGCCGTATGCCCTTATTGCTGCACTTTTATTTAGCAGCCTAACAGTTACAGTCAAGCCTTGATTCACCTGGTGGATTTATAAACAATGTGGGCTTTAGAGGAGGGCCTTCATGCCTGCACTTCATTGTCAGTCAGTGTGAGGACGTATTAAGATTTCAGGGGAGTCTGTAGTATTTCAGTTTCTCAGATGCACGGCTGTCAAATTAACTTTGTTTTTTAACTTGTGCATATAACTTTTTTTCTTTTCATTCGCTTTTTTCGTACCATTGCCTTTTTTGAGCACCATATATGTACTTAATTTTAAGTCACTGTTTTAAGAAGCAATCACACATCTCTTGGCTTTGACGCTATAAATATAGTCATTGCTTTGGTTGAGATTGTTGGCCCTGTAATAGTTGGCACCTGGATTCAGAAGTTCAAACTTGTTTTGTCTTTTTGTTGATGTTACTCAAACTAAAACATTTAAAGGAATATATTGTAATTTTGGAAAATTCGCTCATTTACTTTCTTGCAAGAAGATTGATAAAAGAAGCTATAGCCAACAGCGGATTAGCTAACTTAGTATAAAGACTGGAAACTTTGCTTTGTCCAAAGGTAGCAAAACCACCTACCAGCACCTCTATACAGCTCACTGATTAATACATAATATCTATTTTCTTTAAACTGTTCACAACCAGATGTGAAAAAATAGGTCCAATGGTTTTGTTATCCTCAGAGAAAGCAATGCTTGTTGTTTCCCCCTGCTTACGGTCTTTATGCTGATTCAAGCTAATTACCTGTTACTTATAGCCTTGATATTTTTCAGCACCTCTTGGCAAAAAAGCAAATAAGTGTCTTGCCAAAAATGTGAAACTTCATTTAACTTCATGTTCACACTAAGCTGCAGTATTTGTAGAAAGTCTGGTGTTTGGATCTGTATTAATCTGGTAAGAAACCACAACACTCATTTCAAACGTGTTGACTAAGTATTTTATTTTTTGCCAAGCCTTCTAACACTAGCTTTGAGAAACTGCAGTCTTGAGACTGAACTTACTGTAACGGTGCTGACTCACAATCTCTCCATTAAGAAAAGGAAAGAAGCGACTCTCCTCTTTGCCTTGAGGGACAGTTCTCAACAACCACTGATCCAGGATTGAACAGCTTCTTTCTGTAACATTTGAAAATCATGAAATCAGTGTTTCTTCGGGGGCTGCTTCCTCCCATCGGAGGACTCTGCTTACACCCGGCTGCTGCTTCACAGCAAGTGTTCTTTGAAATGATTCCTCTGCTCCCGGGTGAACGCCATTCACTGACTGAGATTTTCTGTAGTCTGGTGTACTGTATGCAGTTTTATCGTCAAACGGATGAGTCTGTACTTGTCTCATGTTTCTTGGAGAGCTTGCTTTTTGGTGTTTTTTGTCCTGTGGTGTGTGTGTGTGTGTGTGAGGAAGATGTGTGTAAGTGTTGTGAGAGTGCCTATCAGCCATATGTTCTTGGATACTTTATTGTTTTTGCTTTTTTCTCCCGGATGATAAAACTGCTTTCCATTTATCATGTAAGCAATTTAGATGCATAGACGTGCCTTCTATGCATATGTGATAACTATTAAAAAAAACAGTGCTAATTAGTTCCTCCACCATTCAAGAACCTGTAACACTTAAATGTGAAATATTTCATCCTGAACAATAAAAGGAAAAAAAAGAGATCACGATGCAAACAAACTATATTTTTTAACATGTATATTGTACATGAGTACCTGATAGAGGAGAATGTACTTACTAAAACATATCTACTTGCCAATAAGATAAACTGTATGTATATTCCTACAGCCTTCTCTCTGTGACACAGGGAGGGACCTCTCACAAAGCTTAAGAGGTTTATTGTATGACTTTCAATGTAGTTAACAGTGTTAACTTCTCAATAACAATAAATGGCAGGCTAATGCCTCAGTAAGACTGTCTTTTTGTTTCTTTTTTTTTAGCCATTGTGCATTGTTCTCACAAAACACTTGCAATACTTTTTAAAATATATGAAACTTGTTAGGAGCCTACATTACATTTAATATGACATTTGGGGCTTTCATTCGTTTTTGTTATGCATCATAACTGAAAGGAGTGTGAGTAATGAACAAATATGAAACTTGCTGTATTGAATGGAATTTCAAGAGATGACATTTGATGAGGCCAGTTAAAATGTCTGTTGACAGGTGAGTGGTAAAGAAATAGTAGAAATGTCACTAGGCATTAGTACTGAATGTTCTAGTGAATATAGACGTTAAAGTACTTTTCAGGAGTTTTGAAGTGTATTTCAATAATTGATAAGGAAAAAAGACCAGGCATGTTAGATAAAGTGCAAAAAGAGTGTTAAAAGTAGTTAAATATTAAAGAGTGTAGTGCCGGTAGATAGGAGTCGGAGGCGGTGCATCGAAGGTGCAATGTTGACTTTAATCAGAAGCTGCAAAGGACATGTTGCTGCAAAGGACACAATCCTCGCGTCCGGGAGGAAGCACCACAGGGGCCGAGGAGGGTGGGGCCGCAGGAGAGGGTAGGGGGCCCTAACCAGGGCGAGGGCATCCCCACCGGGGGTGGGGGGCGGGTCGGAACGGGCCGGCATCCCCACCGGGGGTGGGGGGCGGGTCGGAACGGGCCGTCGTAAGGGGGCCGCAGTAGGCGTCGTGGAGAACGAAGAAAACATCCGCCTGCCGTAGAAAGCAGATGAAGGCATGGGCGACGTCCGAAACCGCCGAGGCGAGGGAAGAGGCCAGACAGGGTCCCGAAGCGCGCCACCCACGGCCTGATGAAGGCATGGGCGACGTCCGAAACCTGTCTTTCTGAAGCCGCCGTCGAGGTGGTGAAAATGTGAGAGGGTCCACACGAGGCCGACCAGACATGATCGAACCTCCTCAGGCACCAGGGAAAATCTCAAAAGGGTCGTACGGTCAAAAACAGGTGGGCGAAATTGTGAGAGGATCCACACGAGGCCAGCCAGACTAGGTCGAACCTCCTCTCCAGCACCACAAAAAAAGGGGTTAACAGTCGGATGTCAACCGACGAATGTCAATAGCAGCTAGTCGTTAGCTGTCGTCGTTAGCCGCTAGCTGGTAGTCTTCGGTAGCTGCTAGTTGTCGTAAGCTGTCAGCCGTTGTTAGCGGCTAGCTGGTGTCGACGGCCGCTAACCGTAAGCCGGTAGCCGTTAGTCGATGTCGTCGGCCCCGGAGCCTCTGCTAGGCGGCGTCCCTCTACCAGGGAAGGTGCCGCTACGTGTAGTGGCCAGCACCTCAGGGGTAAATCGCCGGGCGGCCAGGAAGAACCGGCTAGCTTCTTCGGCTAAAGCGCGGGGCTCAACACTTGCCGTGTTAGCTAGCGCAGCCTGGACACGCAGCCGCGACATGCAGCCGCACGTCCCGAAGAAACAGCCCCATGAGGTAGAAGTCGGGTTCTTCCATACCTAGCAGGTCGTGTATCGTCTCCGTGTAGTCGGAAGGCTTGCTGTCTTCCAGTACCGAGACGATGCGGGAATGGCGAGCGACGTCCTCAGCCATTCCGCGGGGGGTGCACCGAGCCTCAGTCCGTGTGCCCGTGGCAGCCACGGACGTCTTCCAAAAAAAAAAAAAAAAAACCTGGCATTTCGAGAAAAACTGAGTTTTTTGCCGCGTTCGGAAGCCTGAGGCCTGTACTACGAATCTAGTTAAACATACCCTTGATATACCGCACCAACTGCATAGTCCGATGTGTCTGTGGTAATGGAGATGGGAGCCGTGGATGATGGGTGCGCCAACAGGGCCACCTGAGCCAACGCGGTCTTGACTTCTGTAAAAGCAGACTCAGCTTCCGCCGTCCAGTCGATCGCCTGGATGGGGGTCGTACCCTTCAAAGCCTCATATAGCGGCCGCATAATGTGGGCGGCCCGGGCGATGAAACGGCGGTACAAAGTCACCATCCCCAGGAAATCACGGAGCGACCGGGCTGTGAGCGGGCGAGGAAACGCCGCGACAGCCTCAACCTTCGCCGGCAGGGGTGCTGCACCGCCTTTGGTGACGTAGTGTCCGAGGAAGTCAATGTCAAACACCCCGAACTGGCACTTTGCAGGATTGATTATCAACCCGTGTTGGCTGAGCCTCGTGAAAAGGGCTCGGAGGTGTGACAGGTGCTCTTCCACCGAAGCGCTGGCGACGAGTATGTCGTCCAGGTAGACGAACATTAACGGCAGGTCCCGCAGCACCGAATCCATCAGGCGCTGGAACGTTTGAGCAGCGTTCTTGAGCCCAAAAGGCATCCGCAGGAACTCGAAAAGTCCAAACGGCGTTATCACTGCCGTCTTAGGAACGTCCAGGGGATGCATGGGCACCTGGTGGTATCCGCGCACCAGGTCCACTTTAGAAAACACCAACGTACCGGCCAGATGTGCTGAAAAGTCTTGAATGTGCTGCACCGGGTAGCGGTCAGGTGTCGTTGAGGCGGTGATAATCCCCGCACGGGCGCCAACCGCCGTTCGGCTTGGGAACAACGTGTAGAGGAGAGGCCCAAGGACTGTCAGAACGGCGGACGATACCCAGGCGTTCCATGGTTGAAAACTCCGCCCTCGCTACTACAAGCTTAGAAGGGTTCAACCGCCGGGCCCTGGCGTAGACTGGGGGACCTTCGGTGGGTGACGTGGTGCTCCACCCCATGCTTGGTGGTGAGCGCGGAGAAGGTGGGTAGCGTCAGGTCTGGAAATTCAGCCAACAACCTGAGAAAAATGTCCGCTCCCGACAGCGAGCCCGACAGCCCGTCGTACGCCGCCTCGCCAAGTGTACACACGAGGGAGGAAAACGTCAAGGCATCAACCAAGCGTTTATTTTTAACGTCTACCAGGAGTCCGTGAGCACATAAAAAGTCTGCCCCGAGGAGGGGAAAATAAATGTCTGCCGTCACAAAATCCCAGTTGAACCGCTGTCCTCCAATACACAAACACATAGGCCACGCCGTACGTGCGAATGGGGCCGCCATTAGCCGTCATCAACCGCGGTCCATGTCCCCCACGAGCGACGTCTTCCCTCTACGCAGGAACAACACTCCGTTGAGCTCCTGTGTCACACAGAAACAAGCTTCCTGAGACTCTGTCGCTGATGAAGAGAAGCTTGTGCCAAAGCTCAGGGCCACTACTGAGCGCCGGCTCCTCCGTTTCCCGGAGGCTTGTAACTGAAGGGAGCGACACACTTATTCGCCCTGGCCCCGAACCGCGCGTGGTAAAAACACTCTCTCGGCTTGGTACCGTCACGTCCAGCCTCCCCCAAGTCTTCTTAACTGTAGAGGGGGCGTCACAGCTAGCACCTCTGCACCGGACTGCTGGGTAGCCAGGAAAAAACGGTCAGCCTCTTCAGCCAAGGCACGGGGCTCCGTAATGGACGTGTTGGCTAGCGCCGTCTGAACCCGGGAAGGCAAGTTGTGCAGGAACGTCTCAATGAACAAAATCCAGGGATCTCCCCCCCCTAGCAGATTTAGCATTTTCTCCATTAGCTGAGATGGCTTGCTGTCTCCTAGGCCTTGAATGTCAAGTATCTGGCGGGCCCTCTCCTTAGCAGATAAGCTAATGGCGCAATTCCACTGCAGCGGGTAGCTCGCTTTAAGCGTGCCGAGCCGTGCGGGGCCCGTTTTTGGTTGCGTTTCCACTTGGCCTAGTACCGGCTAGCGGGTCCTAATTCAGTTTTTCTGGCCCCATAAAATCGCGGTTCTAGGGCCAGGAACAACCAGGCTGAGTCGGGCTGAGTATGCTAAACTAGAGGAGTAGCATGAAGCTGCAGCGTCGGAGACAGCAGTTACAGGACTGCACTTGTAGAACCGCACATACAGGTCCGACGGAGCACGTCACGGCGGCACGTGACGGAACACGTTCACATGAACGCCTGAAGCCCCTCAATGGAGAGGCGAAGTCACGCCCATCTACTTCCGGACCATGGGACCCCGGAAGCGAAAAATTTACATTGAATTCAATGGAGAGAGAACACATATCTTTTGATCCCGTTTGAATTGTGCCACGAACTACACATATGATGTTTGTCAATCTTAAACAATCATTTCCATGTCAAAAAAGTCACATTTTGTCGTAAAACTGCTGAAATATAAGACTATGAAAAATACGCTACTACAAAGACTACAAATCCCCAATCCCATTCTGGGTCGCGTAAGTGATGCTCGGTGATTTATAATAAGACTCGTAATTAAAGCGAAGAAGAAAAAAGAATCTCATAACTGATTTATTCCCTCCAATAAATTATAGATCGCTAAAAATAAATTCACTTTTACAAGATGCCTGTGTGCTTTGTACCAGGTTGTAGTCATAAAAGTGATCATACCACTTGCTCCTTCTATCGATTCCCGTCTGATGAAAGGACCAGGAGTCGCTGGATCAGACATATCAGGTAATATCATAGGTAATATACATGTTGTGCATGTTCATGTGCATAGTCAAGTTAGCTACCTAGCTAGTAGCGACGAGTAGCGAGCACGTTAGTTAGCATTACATTACTTAGCCTTGTCATTTTTAGTAGCCTTACCATGAAGTTATTATTTTATTACATGAAGTAAACCAAAATGTTAAACAGTAACCAAACATGATGGTAAGTATTTCGTGAAACATTTGAAGAGTAGCCTACTGCGCCCTCCACCGGGTGCTAAGGAAGCAGTTCAGGGAGAGTCGAAGGCAGGCAGGGAGCTTTGCATGTCATTCTTCTGGACGTGTTTCATTGTGATGACAATCTGTTTGTTGGAAAGACAGTCGTTGTGTGCTTATTGAGAGAAAATTGTTAGAAGAGATAATTATTCAAAGTGTTGTTACTTTAAAGTGTTGTTACTGACCTTTTTTTTTTTTTATTTTCTTTACCTCACCTGTAACTGCTGAGACGTTGAGGAACATGCACACTGACCTGCTCTGGCAACCTGATTTCCACTGTACGTAATAGTATTTGGTTATGGTATATTA